GAGTATGAAGTTTCAAAGGGTGATTTCAGATTTATTGTGAACATGAGTAGGAAGGAATGTACTTGTAGGGGGTGGAATCTTACAGGTATACCATGTTGTCATGCCATTTGTGTGATGTACTCATGTAATGTTAACATTGAAGATGGGGTTGCACATTGGTATAGAAAGTCTACATACCTACAAGCATACAAATTCTCAGTTAATTGTATAGAAGGATTAGAGACTTGGAAGCTACATAAAGGTTTGAAGCTGGATCCACCACCATTCAAGAAGGACAAAGGCAGACCCAAAGTGCAAAGGAGAAAACCAGCACATGAGACAGCAAAAGTTACAAGAGGAGATGAGGAAAAGCTTTCTAAAAATGGTGTGCAAATGACTTGCTCTTGGTGTGGGTTTCAAGGACATAATAAGAGAGGATGCCCACGGAAAGATGATCCAACCTTCAAGAGAGATGTTCCTGAGTTAACTTTTTTTATTTTAACTGCTTTATGTTTTTTATTTGCTTGTTTTTTTAAAGTCTAACTGGATATGTTAATTTTAATTGTATAGAAACCTCTAAAGATTAAACAGAAATCAAAGGCCACTCCTCCTCAAGCTTAGCCAAGGGTAGTTTTGAATGTCAAAGATGCATTTTCTAGTCCCCCAACTAAAAGGATACAAAAGAAGAATTCCAAAAAGGTATAATTCCATAATTTCTCCCTAATTCTATCATTTATTATGTTATAATAATTTTTTAAAAAGTAATGTATTATTTTTTGCAAGGATACTAGAAATGCAAAATCAAAAAGACAAAAAACGTCCCCCAATGAGGTTGAACCTTCATGCTCACAACAGCAGTCCACACTTTCAAGTCAATGCCTCACACAAGAAAGTCAGAATTTTAGTCTAGACCGACCATGAATTTATGTTATGGACTTTTTCTTTTTATTTTTTGGTAGGAGTTATTTCTGGTATGTGGTGATTATTTTTTATGGAAGACTGATCCATGTTTATGTTGACAGGAGCCATCTCTGTGTAGTTGTGTTTTGAAACTTATGGACAAAATGAAATCTGATTTTCAATCACTATTTCTCAGTATATAGACAAATTATTCCACTTGTATAAATTTTTTTTTTAGTTGATGTACAAAATGGAACCTGTTTTCTATTCAGTTTCTTCAATTTAAGATATTATTCAGTAGCACAATGATATGCAAAAGACAATTTGATAAGGAAGATGACAAGTTTTATTCAAAAAGAAAACATTGTACAATGTCGTTTCCAAGGCAATTTGGCCTTAACATCAATATACATTCCATGCTTATAATTTTTGCATCCAAGACCATTTCTACAATCTAAACTAGTACATACAAGAACATTAGAAGAAAATAGATTATGGCATGGCCATAACAAAAGCCTTCCTTCAGAACTCAGTATTTGGTGATTCACTTTGCCAGTTTCTCTGCAAAGCTCGTTTTGTGCTATATATTGCTCAATGTTTCCCTAGCAATGTATAATTTGTCCACAACACTGCTAAACTTTTCCCCTGCACTTTTCAACTTTTGTTCACTTACCTGTACCTCACACTTCACTGGCACTTTCAATAGTACAATCATTAAGCTCTTTTAATTTCATTTTCTCAATATCCAATTTAGCCCTCAATTCACTAATCAACTACTCATTCAACCTTTCCTTTTTATTTCACTGAATTCAGTATATTAGCAAAAGATAAGGCTCCATCGGATTAACAATCCACACCCAAAATTTGCACTTCCTTTTCCCCTGAAATCCCTGAAATACCATTTTTCACAGACCATCAAATTGGCACAAAGAAAAAACAAATAAGAGCAGGAACATTTTGTCAAAACCCAGAAGCAAAAAAGGGAGAAAAATCGAGAAAATTCCATTACAAACCATAGATGCAAAAAGTCGAGAAAGCAACCCACCAATGGAAAATTAAACATCTATTTTACCATTTATCAAAAAGAGGGCAGGCCATGTAGCTTATCCAAGGATTATTAGAGCTTGAAGATACCTTAATCGAAACCCAAACCCCGTAGTCACAAACAGCTTTCGCCATAAGAGTCGACCGGATCTACCACTCAAGTGTGCAAAGGATGAACTGCAGCTTGACATTTTTGTCTCCGAACCCATGAGATGTGTTTTTCGTTCGTGATTTGAAACCAGATCTGAGATGAAAACAGAGAAGAAGAAGA